AGAAAGAGAAACAGTTGGCTCTGAGTAAAACTTCCAAGCTTAGCATAGTCAAGTTTTCGTACCCCACATCTCAGCGCTGCCTGTTTATCCTTCAATTACAGCATGCAAAATTTGTAATTATCGCCTCTTCAAAAAAGAGCACTAGGCTTGATCCGTTGGTGTAAGTACCTTAATAGTTTTTAAATATATTCGATCAAGTTGAAGAATTTATCTAATTCGTGCGATTTATCAAAAACAAAATTTTTTATATTGAGTAAACTAAATTTCACGTCAGAAGTAATTAATTCCCGACTTTCAAGTATTATGATATGTTTATGAATGACATCAGACAACCATACAATGTAGATTCAACCTCTTGAAAATTTATTTTATCTGTTCGTGAAAAAACATAGCGGCGAAGAAATTCGAGATATTTCGGGATCCGAACGACCAAGAATCTAATAAAAGCCGCTGATTTGATTTTTATCATTTTATTAAACTTGTCATGTTCTAGATTTTTTGCAAGAAACTAACATTTCAGCGATTCTTGTAAGCTCCTTACCTGATAACACTGAGAATTCTATCCCCCGGCTAAAGCTTTTTTCAAGCTAAGTGATAAATTTACTCTCTTTATCGGGACTAATCCACATAAGAATCCTCCGCTGCAGTCTTACTTAAATCTCGACTTCTTATCTCGTTTCGTCTTAACCAAATTTTGTTTTTGTTATTCGAGTCACGATTAGCCGTCATTCTTTCTCGCAACTTCTACAAACTTGGTTTTGGCTTAATTTAAAATGTCAATTTTTGATGCCACGTCGACGTACGATACACGCGCGCAGCACTGCGCGAGCTCCGATCGAAACACCTCCGTTATTGTCGTTCATCTCCATCTCGCAAGATGGGGAAAGGTATCTGCACATCTGCTAACAAAGTTATCTCTTTGCACCGGCTTCCACTCCTGCTTTACGTTATGGCACGCGAGCTTGCAAGTACCAAGCTTATTTTTATAGTATAAGCTCGCAAGAAAGTGAGACAAGTCGCTCATCTCCTTTATCGTGGACGTCTTTTCACATCGTCACGTATAGCTATATATACGTGTATAAATATACGTGCAGCAGCCACGCAAGCTCGTGCCGTGTATGCGCTTCGTGAGACACCGATAAAGAGTCTATATATAGAGAGCGAGCGGTTCGGCTGGTATATACACTGCTCATATACAAGGGAAGTATGATCGTCCATACAGAAAGAGAGGGGGAGAGGGAGAGTAGCTGTTGTAGCGATACTCGTGCTTCATCTGAATATGAGCTCGTGAATCCGAGCGAGCCTAAACTCCAGTAGAAGCGCCCGAGTAATCGTAAACGGGGATCTGAGAGACGAGATTGGCTGTGTGGTTTTTTAGGGAAAAATTTCAACTTGCGTTAAGAGAGAGAAGCCAGGGAGTGAGCGAAAGTAAGATTGATGAAAAAGTTCAATCAATCCAATCAAAAATATAGTCGAAGCAGATTTTCTTGAAAAAAGAAACAAAACAAAAGACCTGCCCTTGTTTAGGGCAAGTTTATCTTTTAATGTTTCGTAATTACTTACGAAATCGAGCCATAACAATACAGATCCTTTCTGTTGGATTTGACAAGTCTGGTTATTTGGTTTTTTAAAATACGGAAACAGTTAATTTTATAGTCTCAGTTCACGAGCGTCCAAATCCACTCTCTCGACAGTTAAATTCCCAAAAGAAAATGCAAATCCAGCTTACAGTCATTTACTTTTTTTTCACGTGCACACACAAAGGAATGAAAAGGGTTTCCCTCTCGGATCCCGCAAAAAAATTATCGCCCACTCGCGCAGAGCAGCAGTAGCAGCAGCAGCAGTGAGGTACTTTGCTTCCATTGCAACTAATAAGAAATTAAAGTGAAAGCAACGGCTCGCCGAGCGGGGGAGGATAGGAGGGCCGCTCGAGCGCGCCCAGGACGAAATATGTGCGTTCGCCATATTGTACGTTCATATTTGTCGCAAGCTCGCGCGGGAGACAAAGGCCCGTCTAATTAACACGCCCGAGACAGGCTCCGACATTCGCCGCGCAGCAGCGACATAACACACAGCCAAAACGAACACGGAGGGTTCAAAATTTTAGACTTTTAAGATATGCGTATTGTCGGGAATGTGCACCGAGACTCGCTAATGGCGATTTTTATCTCATCGCTGACTTTTCTTTTGTTCGAGTTTTTTTTCCCCGACTCGTTAAAACTAAACATATGTTTTCGTAAACGATACGCGGCAATGACGACGTTTCTCGACTCCTTGTACCGCTGGGAATAGTATGCGCGTATAGTCGCGATGCCGAGACTCGCTCGTAGATGTCTGACTGGAGCGTGATTTCGTCTACTTGAGCGAATTGTTGTTGCAAGTTGGATAACTCATTTTGCTCGGAGGAAAAAGCGTAAGAATTTCTTTTGTAAAATTTATCAAGTGCATGGCACTGTGCTGCTAGCGCGTATTGTATCGAAGATCATACAAAACTATCGTAAACTAAAAATTAAACTCAAATGAAAAGTAACGCGCGCCAGTCTTTCTTCGGCATCAAAATGGAATATAACTTTTATTCGCAAAAGTGCAGCTACATGCAAAATACATTTGAAAATGCAGTCTCGAATAAGGTATAACGTGCTCGTTCACTTATATACAGGTATATCTGGGGTCTCACACAACTTTACAAATCCTTTTCGCACACACACTCACACACACGGATCTACACGAGCACAGGCGCGGGCGCAACGAGATCGCAAGAGTCTTTCTCTCTCGCTAGAACGATATGCACTCTCTCTCTCTCTCTTTACCGCGCGCGCTAGTAGCGAAGTTTTCAAAAGCCTTCCTCGTAATATTTTTCTCTTCTGAAAAATCTTTTCTATTCACAGCTTCGAGGCAATAAATCCTACGCTCAAATGATCCTTTTCCAACGAGAGCGAGGCGGTGGCGGCGGCGGCGGCAGAGGGAGAGGCCTCGAGACTGAGCGCGAGGCCGAAGGGGTCTACAATTGCGTTATACGTACCGTCTGTGCAGTATATAACGCACACACTCTCACATCCATACGCGTTCTGAATTACATTTAACTTTAATCTCCGCTTGAATCAGCAGAGGCGCGCATTCGGCATTTGGTGTGCATGGTTAATCTCGGGGCCTCTCTCGTCTCTATACGGGGGTACACACGTGTGTGCGCAGCTCTCACATATATTACACGTGTGCACATACGTAGGTGTATAGAGTCGTGGCGCCGACAGCAGGTGTTGGCAATACCCTCGATCTGTGCAACGCACCTTTGCAATTTCCGCAGGTAGAGAAGTGACGTACATATAAATATGCGCACTCGGTACAGCACATATAGGCTCCATACTGCTCGGGGGCTTTTGCGTTTCTGTCTCGTCGCCGTACGGTATATGCGTATTATATGCCATATATATATATATAATACCAATGACTTTGTACCCAGTGGAACATGTGTATAGGTGTAAATCCGTCGAAATTGTGTCAACCGCAGACACGCGTGTGTCTCCGTGTTTGCAACACTGTATACCACCCTGTATGCGCGTATACTCCTTGATTGTGTCAAGGAGTTCCGATATCTGTTCTTGATGCACTCGGAGCTCGAATCGCAGTCCGAGCAAAAGACTCGAGACTTTTCTAAGCACTTTCGCAAATGTTTCGTGTATATGTGCAAACGAACGTAATTCATGAAAATCTCACCGCGATAATGATCAATTTATCTTTACGTCCCTCGGTAAAGTGACGTATCCGTAAAAACGACGAATCCTTTTAGCTGCTCCTTACCTACACATATATTTTTTATCATTTCTCTAGCTCCTTTTAACTCTGCAGCTTTTTTATAACCCATAAACGATCCATAAAACACTCGGAACAAAGATGGTCCGCGGAGCATTGAGGATATTCGAAGACGTCCGAGTTATTTCTTGATGCTCTTTGCCTCGCTCGGTCGTTGCTGCTGCTACTATAACTACTCCTGAGCTTCTGCGCTGCTACTGACGTGGCTCTGTATATATAGCTGTGTCTTTTTCTCTCGCATTAAGTAATTCAACAAGGCAAATCTGCACTCGAGTAACTCGCTGCAAAAATGAGCTAGAGGACGTCGAAATGCTCGTTATTTTTGAGTCGTTTGTTGTATTCAATGATGCTATAACGTTTGAATTTAACGTACTATTTTTAATGTTCAAAGAGACAGTTTAAGTAAAATTACCATCTCTTCGTCGACAGATATTAACAAAAAAAAAGGAAAAGTTGTTCGTTGAAAAAAAAACGTCGAACGTATCATAAATAACTCTACGCAATGAGGTGCAAACACGCATTCAGTAAAACGATACCGTCAAGCGGTCGTAAAAAATGTCGAATCAAATAAAGCGAGAAAAATACGAGAGTGACCCCTACAAGTGTCTACGGCTGACCGCAAGAAGAGCGTACACCACAGATGTACAGTCGTAGCGTCGAAGAAATGTAAGCTTCCTCCGCTTTATATACGTGTGTTCGTCCCAAAAGAAATGAAAAAGAACTCGAGCAACGTCCTAAAGAATTGCGCGTGCAGCTATAGGCTTGAAAAAAAGAAGCAAATCTTACATCTGCACGCAGAGAGACGTACGAGTTTCGCATGCACCCGGTAATTATGTAAGAAATGTGTAAGCGAACGTACGAGCGAGCAGTGTACATTAGAGGGTGTAAAAGGTTGTTTAGCGTAGGCGCGCTGCAGGTCAGTCAGGTATAGGGTTCAACAGCTTGTATACACACATACACATACACACACAAGTTGAGCTACGTCGCGCGCAGGCGCTGTCGAGCTATCGTATATTCGTGCGGCAACGGTAGCGGCAGCGGCGGCGACGGCGGTGGCGGCTGCAATAGGCGGCTCGAGGGGTAGCTTTGTATGCGCTGCTGCTGCTACTCTTGTGCTTCGTCGCTCCACGTGGTTTTGGGCGCTTTCGTCGGTGTCAGTCGCCTCTGGCTCGTCGCACGTAGCTTTTATCCGCGTCCCATAATCCCGGACGTATTTTTCTTCGTTGCTGCGATCGCGAGTATGCAGACTCTTGTTGATTGCGCATTGTCTTTCTCTCTTCGCGATCGGTTTTGACAGTGGATAATAGTGCAAAAATATCTGAGTGTTTTGTGAAGTGGATTGATATCGGTGCAGGTGATTGCGTGTGGTCTAAAGTTTGGTGAAAAATAAACGATAAAACGCAGTATCAGAGACGTATCGCGTAAAATACACCGAAGGAGCCGTTAAAGGTGGGTAGGTTGTGGACACCGCATGTAAAGCGATTGTTAGCATATTTCTCTCTTTTGTAGACGCACAAATTATCAATTTTATCGTTCAATTTTGAATTTTAACGTTTATTCTGTTGTAATTTCCAAGAAAATCTGAGAGAAAATAACAGTAATCGCGAAAAAAGGTAAAAAAGACGCGTCGTTTAAAAATTGAAAAGTTAAATTTCACTGTGTGCGCGCGTACGCGCATACAGATACATCGGTACACGTGAAAAATTCAATCAAGCTCGCGAGCTTGAGAAACGGAAATAATCCTCCCTTCTTTTTCAAGTGTTTGAAAATCTTAATGAAATGGAAGTTCTCGAAGCTCGCGAGCGCTTTTGCCGTCCTTGCACTCGATACGTATTTTATACGAGCGCACATAGCAGACGGGAGGTAGGATAGCTCTGCACACTGGAAGCTCTTGCTCGATTATATATCTACATCTCGATATATATACCGTTCGCTGCAAAGCTCGAGCTGCAAAAAAAAACCTCGCGTGGAAAATTGTGCACGCTCTTACAGCTCGGTAGAATAGCGCCAATGCAGTGCTCACGCGGCGGTGGCGGCAGTGGCAGCAGCTCGTGTATGCACTGAAACTGATGAACACAGCGCGATGCAAAGAGCTTGAGATAGAAAAAAAATGTTTTTTTTTTCATCCATCGAATTCGAATCATGTATTCGTGGAGCGCAGCACTGTTTCGTGTTAAGATTGATATGCGATTCGGCTTTCTTTTTGTCGTTTGGCCTAGACCAACCGACGAAAACTGCACTGATTGAATTGTTATTCATAGCCGGTGGATTAATTCATTCGAGCATATCGGCGAAAATCCCTTTTTGCCGTGCGCGCACGTACGCGAGAAGTTGGAAATGGAATGAATTTTTACTTTCGAGTTTGACTACTACGTCTGTCACATCGTAATGGGTACGCGCGCACGGGTATTATAAAAGCGATGCGTGCAACGGCTATTCGGGCACGAGAAGGATGCCAACGTTATTATAAGCTGACAAACGAAAAGCTCATTCTCGAGATAACACATATCACAGACGCACACGATAATGAATTCGTACTGCTCGAGGCTATATACGCGCGTCAGTTTCCTATTTCCTTCCTCTAATTCACATTTCATACATTATACACGGCCATGCTTCATCCTCTCTCTCACTCTCTTTCTCTATATCTCGCTGGCTCACGTGTATTAGCTACTGCTATCCACCGAAAACCATGTCGATTGGAATATATTTGAATTTCTCCATTCGTCCATTCATATATGAGCGTGTTAATTCTGCATGAAAATTTATAATGTTATTCACGACAGAAGATGTATGCCACGAATTAATGTAGAGTTGGCTAAGATATTTCCAAGCCAGTGGCACGGGCGATGGGCAAAAAATTCGCTACCAATTGAAAACTCGTGTGCATTGACAAACTAATGCATCTTCAACGATAATTTTCATATGCAAAATTATTAGTGCTTGAATCGATGCGAAGATTTGATATCGTACATTTCCGTGATCATGTGAATCGATTATTCATGCATTTTGCGAATAATGCATCTATACCGCCGTGATGCGGTGAGATCGCACGAGGAAAACTTTTGTAAATTAAAGTCTTTACTTTAGCTATCGCAGCCGGCTGCCGCGGTGGCTGGGATATTTACGCTTGAAAAACAAAACCCACCGTCGAATCAGCATAAATTTTTACGTTGTGCACCGAGCGAGCTTTAGACCTATATACGTGTATATAATAATATACGATTTTTTCCCTAACGACGTGGTGCTAATTGAGAGATTATCGATAATTCCCTACTTTATTATGCAGAATATTGAAATTAACAGTCCCGAACGATAACCGTTCGAGCTTTTACAGTACGTTCAAGGCTAATCCTAATTGATTTGTTGTGCGCGCTTACTTTGACAGATAAATTGCCTCGTATATAGGCATATGCATAATTAACGTGTCCTTTACCAATTGTATGCAATATAGAAGATGTTGACCGTTTGTTTTTCCACCATCAGAATCGATAATTGAATTAATCATTGTTTTGGTTCTATCTTCGTCAGTCATTACGATCCTTATCGACTTTTGAACGTTTTCCTATGTAATGCCTATTTGCGGTATAATCGATAATGATGTAACTCGGGCGCTAGAGTAAATATTGACTGACAGGACTTTGCATCATCGCAGCAGCTATGAGCGATTGATATTTATCGATTCGAAGTGAAATTGAGTGAATGCATCAACATAGGTGAAAGCACAAGTTTTTTCATCACTCATTTTTACATAATAGATACGACAGCTTATGCTATGAAAAGAATTTATGAATTTTATATGTATTTGCGTGGATTAAAAAACAACAAAAAAATTGCAAAAATGCATCGATTGCAGACTTTAATAAAAGTCTCGTCGGTAGAAAGACGCGATTAAAAAAAAAATAAGACACGTAGATTGAAATCTGCGAGCAAACAATTGGAATGGTAATTCGGACACGCTCAGTATTCGATGAATAAACGGAAAAATGCCCAAGTTGTCGGTTTTCTCTTCCCTCGCATTTTAGTTGGTCGAAAAAAAGCTCGAGCTTGCGTAACGGCGCAGGTACACCAGGTCGTAATTGATCTGAGCCTCGGAGTTCTATAAAATCGTTTTCATCATTTAGGAGCCAGCGTTAGCTTTTCTTCGTAGCTAGAGAAATGCATATCCTACATATGATACGATTTATTTCACTTGTTTGTGTGCGTGTATGTGTTTATTTGTATACACAATAACCATAATATATATCTATATATCTGGCGCACTAGCTCGTCTGTTTTTGATAGGCTTTTCCCTCTTAAAAACTTCTGCGTTTGACGTGGCTGATAAAGAGAGTGAGGGAGAGGAAGCGAGGTAGCGAAGAGAGAAAGAGAAAGAGAGAGAGACGCAGCTGTGCTTTTTCTTCATATAATAGCAGCGAGTAGTATAGCTAGCATAAACACCACAGTGGGAGAAAGCTAAAAATGAGAACGGCAAGCAGCAGCGCTTCCCTGATGCCTCTGCCTGTTAGTGCTGCTGCTACTGCTGCTGCTGCTGTTGCGCTGCTGTATCGATTATGGAAACAAAGCTCACGCGCGCTCTGACTGTGCGTGTATTCCGTCTATACGCGCGTGCATTCGTATATATGCTCGCGAGCATGTATATGAGTGCGAATGTGCATGCGAGCTTCTTTCGACGTTACGTTCTTTTTTTTTACGCTCTCTGTATTTTTGAGCTTGACGGGTTTCCTAGCTGCTATTCCCTATAAGCATATGTATACACACACATACACGTGCACGCATCGTCCACGACTTTTTTTCTTGCCTTTTTTTGCGCGCAGAACGAGTTATGCCTCGCGTACGTATGCTACACATATTTACTTTCGCTTTCGCTCTTCAAAGGTGTATTTTTCCAGTCTGCACTTGTAAGCGGGGGTGAACCTAGAGCGCACAAGCCGCCTTTAGGGACTTTCATTTGCGCTTAAAGAGAACGAGAGAAGGAGAGAGAGAGAGAGAGAGAGAGAAAATAGTTGTGTCTAGGATTTACCGAGGGCTTCGCATTATCCTTGCCTAGCACAACGAAATACGCGTCGCTTTTTCGGAAAGTTTATCTTACGCGAAATGTATTTAATCGCAACTGTGTCTACTAACTGTATCTACTGTGCTGCAGCCTACTTTTTAGTGCACACCTACGTATATAGGGTCAAGCGGTTCGTACTCGTTCGTTGTATGCAGTGCACAATCACGAAGATGTTTATGTTAATTTGAAATTTTTAATGCCACGCTCTCGCTACTTTTATTATATTACGTACACTTGAACTGCGCCCCCTTCTATGTAGACGCTAAGATAACAAGAACTCGAGCGCACGCTCGCGCGCGGTATACGTATATTTATAAGAGCTTGTCGATGATTAAAGGCAGTAGGCGCGCGCACGTGTGCACGTGCTGCGTAGCGCTTTATTAAAATGCATTAAAAGTATGCACACGAATGGCGTGCGCTACATCATTTAGCCTCCAAGACTCTATTAGTTTATTATTAGCGTACACATAGTTTGATGTCGCCGTTATACGAAGAAACGCGTTTTCTCTGCTCTCCTTTTTCAGGCTGCTTAGTCGCTAAAAACGAGTTACAAAGCTATGCTATACACGAATTATAAGCCTTTTCAAAATCGCTCAGCGGCACTGCACTCTACTGCTTTGAAGTTTCATCTGTACTTACATCACATTAAATAAATCAGAGCTACGAGAGCTTCGTATAACCTGTGTGCATGCACGAATGTCCATGAATTCGTCTATGGTATATGTCTGCACGACGATGAACTGTATGTGTATGTATAAGGAAACAAAAGTCTATATACTCCCATTAAAACTTTTGCAGTCAAGATCTCGGGTCTTGCTTCTCATTTTACCTTTCAATCTACGGCACTATATATAATGTATTCATACAGGTATAGACATAGCAAAGGTGAATAAATTTCTTAAACAATAAAGCCAACCCCTGGATTCGCTCGTAGCTCTCGTGCATTTAGGATCACTTCGTAATAGCAAAGTCATCGGCGAAAGGTTATTTTCTTTTTTAATAGGCCTTCAGTCAAAGTCTTATAACCGAAATCCATGGTAGTGGCTGCGTGCAAAGGAATCATTATATCCTATACGCGATATACCAAGTCCTCACCGGCAAAGTAGAAAACATCGATCGATCCTCGCAAGACTTATGCATGTGAGCGAGCTAAGATTCTCCCGCTGCTACCTTCCCTTCGTCTCTCTTTCTTTCTCTTTGTCCTTTGAAAACAAACTTGAACTATTTGGAGAAAGAGAGGCAGATAGACAGGTTCGGGTGACAGCCGACGATAGATAGATAGATAGATACATAGAGATTCCTTTTAGAGACAAGTTCCAAATGCTGCGCGCGGGTTAAAAGGAGCGATAAATCGAGAATAGACGAAGTATATGTGCGAGCGTGTGTACGTATG